GGGCAGAGAGCTTTGCTCTGCCAGAAACCGCATCCCCGCGAGGGGCTGGTGGCTGGGGGTCGGGCAGTTTGGCTGTGCTGCCCTGGGACCAGAGCTCCTCCGCGTAAGTGCGCTTGGGGCAACGCTCTCTCAGGTTTGCTGCATTACAGTGCTGCTTGGAGGGTCTTCTCCTGCAGAGTTAATGGATTTTAAAAGGCTGCTGCGGTCAGGATGAGATCACACTAGTAAAACTTAAAGTGAAGTTTCTTTCTAAGTAGTTTTTCGTTGATAGGTGTGGGAGGAAATGACTCTGCTGCCTGGAAAGCAGCAAACCTGCTGAAGCCCTGGGCCTGCCTGCTTTGGGGGCCAGGGAAAGCGCTAAAGGGATGCCTCCAGGCTGGTGTCACCTGGGACTGGTTGACTTCCACCTCTTTGGGTGACCAGCTTCAGGGCTGTGATCGAAAGCATGGCCAGAGCACCTTTTTTTGTGTCCTTCTCACAAGTCATGATAGCATCAGGTGGCTCGTGGGGGGTTCTGTTCCAAGAACAAGACGATCGCTTGGCTTCCTTCAGGCAGCGTTTTCTTTGCATCTCCTGGAGACGCTGCACCCGCACTCCTGCTGGGATGTCCTGGTGGCAGCACGATGAGGGGTCTGGGCTGGTTCATTGGGTGGTCAGAGGGTCTTCCATCGGCGACAGCCTTGCTTGGGTGGCACCAGGTTTTGTTCCTGCTGTTTGTCTCCTCTCCTGCCTATGGAGCACTAAGTCTCGGGCAGCAGAAGGCTGAACTTGCGCTGCTCCTCGCGAGCAGGAGCGTCTGCCAGCTGGTGGGTGAGGACCAGGGTGCAGAGAGGGAAGAAAACAGCCCCGGGGGTAAACGCTGCTGTGACCCATGGTTTTCTCAGGGCTGCGAATCCCCCGATGCTGGGCAATGGTAGGCAACTGCTTCTGGCAAAAGGAGTCCTGCCCGCACCCTGGGGTGAGACCCTGGGGCCGAGGGGTGCTCGGCCAAAAGGGGGGTCAGACCCTCGGCCCCCGCTCCGCAGTCAGGCACCGGACCCGCTTGGACACGCCGCGCCCACCGCACA